CGGACCCGTTTTCCGGCTTTTATAATTCAGCAGCAGCCGTCGTATGAACCAGGCCGGAGTGCCTGGATCATACGATATTTGGCTGCCTTTAAAAATAATAATAATAATAATTATAAAAAAAAAAATGTTGTTTAGTTTATTTTTCTTCATAACATTTTTTTTTTTCGGATTTTTTTGAAAACTCTTTTGTTTTTTTTTGTTTTGTTTTTTTTTGGTCCACGTTCGGCCCGAACGGCCGAACGCATTCCGAAGGGGTCCCGTACGTTCGGGCGTTCGGGTTCGGGCATTCGGCCCGTCTGGAACACCGGCAACCCTGCCAACAACAACAAAAAAAAACTAAAAATGAAAATAAAAATTAAAAACACCCTGCCAGGTTCTGTCTAAACAGTACAAGAGTATGCTGCGAGTCAGATATCAACCCCCCCAAAAAAAAAAAAAAAAAAAAAAAAAACACTGTTCTCCTGCGGTAGACCATCAAAGGAACAGGTGTCAACGAACAAACAAAAAAAAAAAAACTGAAAATGAAAATAAAAATTAAAAACACTCTTCTCCTGCCACTTTCTCGTTAGCCCGAATGGTGCGACCGTAAAAAAACATGTATAAGTCAAGTAGGACTCTTGATAGACAGATTCTGAGTTCAAGTCTCGACGGATACACAATAACATTATAGATGAGATTAGGAGCTAACCCTCGCCCACTCTTCTCAAAGCAACGAAAAGAAAAGAAAAGAGAAGAAAAAGAAAAGAAATTAACGACAAGAAAACTCCTCAACACGAAAGTGGAATTGCTGAACGTACTACAACAACATTCCCTCTCCTCTCGACAACAACTGATCGGGATCGCATGCCTTGTCCCGCTCCTCTCGACAGCAACTGATCGGGATCGCGATCAGTGGTTGTCGGGGGATAAGGCAGAAGGGATGGTGATGCAGAAATTGACGGATCCGATGCCTTGTCAATCTAGAGTGCATTTTCCTCTATGAGTGACAAGCCAAGGAGGAGGAGGAGGAGAGGAGGAGAGGAGGAGAGGAGAGAGAGAGAGGAGGAGGGGAGGAGGGGAGGAGAGGAGGAGGAGCGAGAGAGGAGAGGAGGAGAGGAGACAGGAGGAGCAGAGGAGGACAGGAGGAGAGGGAGAGGGAGAGGAGGGAGAGGACGAGGTGAGGACGGGAAAAAGAGGCAGAAGCCGAGGAGGAGAGGAGGGGGGAGAGGAGGGAGAGGAGGGAGAGTAGGGGGAGGAGGGAGAGAAGGAGAGGAGGAGAGGATTTGAGGAGGAAGGAGAGGACGAAGGAGAGGACGAAGGAGAGGAGGAGAGGAGAAAGGAGAGGAGGAGGGAGAGGAGGAGGGAGAGGAGAAAAGGAGGAGAGAGGAGGAGGAAATGAGGAGGGAGAATAGGGAAAGTAGGGAGAGGAGCAGGGAGAGGATGGAGAGGAGGCAGGAGAAGAGGGAGGAGGAGGTGGCCAGGAATCAAAATATTTTGATTCTCGGCCCTGATTGACAACCCCTTTATGTTATAAATATGCCTGGCCCTGATAACATTCTTATAACATAAAGGGGTCGCTGGTCGAGTACCTGGCCCTGATTGGCGACCAGTACTCTGTGTGACTCTTGACTACCGTCATCCCCCGAACACAACGCACCCTCATTTTGACTGTATCGGGCTGGAAACATACCTTGAATACGTTCATTTTCAGGGTGCGCTGTGTTCGAGGGAAGCCGGTAGAGAGAAATGAGCAAGACAAATGAAAGAATTCGTCATTATCTGTGGGTGGATTATTAGTAGATAAAAGCATTTAATGCCATTTATATATTGGCACCCATTTATCTGTGGGCTTGGTATGCAACGCATTCCTAGTCATCATAATCGTCATCATCGCCATCATCATCATCATCATCATCATCAACATCATCATCAACATCATCATCAACAACAATCTTGATCGCGAGGAGGAGGAGGAGGAGAGGAGGAGGAGGAGGAGGAGCAGGACTTCGGGAAAAGAAAGAAAAGGAGAAGGGGGGGAGGACGAGGAGGGCGGAGGATGGGATTGTTGACAACGAAGCGGAGGAGGAGAAGGAAAGAGTAGATGACAGGAGACAAAGGGGAAGGAGGAGGGG